TGAAAGTCAAATGATCAACTGCTCTGTAAGTTCTGTGGTGGTTTTATGATTTCATTTCTGCCTTTATTAGGTACCTCTGCCCCTAGAGGGGGTGCCTCCTCCTCTGTGTGTAGGAGCCAGCCCCAAATCAAAACGCTTTCTATATAGTAAATTAATCTGTCCTAGTCAGGCTCTAAGCACCAGCAAAGCAAACAGTTGTCCATAACAAAATGGTCACTGTCTTGTGACCTGCTCTGTCTAAACACTGGGAGATGGAGGTTGCTGCCACCAAGGGAGTTTAAGGCAACAGCAGCTGCTGAGGATGTAAAACAGTAGTTGCTGTTTGATTTTCCTCTGGTTACAGCTTTCCTTCCAGCTTCAGGCCTGCCTTTGCTAGACTTTTAGAAAGTCTTATTCCAAATGAGGGCTGTGAACATCTAATGATGACATGGTAATGTTTAATGCTTAAATTCATACTGTAGAAAAGGGAGTGGGTGGAGTGTCGAGTCTGTAAAGTCTTATCAATGCAATGTGGCTGAACATAAATGGTTTCTCATTTTAACTCTGTAAGAGCCACCTTTTTCTTACCTTGGGATCAGGTTGTGAGAGAAATGGCTGTTACAGGAGAGCTAGGTGGGGTTCTGGCAGAGTTGTTCTCTGTGGGGCAATGACTTCATGGGAATGCCTGGATTTCTGCCTGTGCAACTTTCTCAGCTAGGGAATTTTAATAAGGAATGTTTCTATTCACACCCAAGTTGAGCCTGAACAAGTTGAGGTCTTGCTGGTCCTTGGAATGTTGAGCAAAGGAGGAAAGACTTTGTTAATTGTTCAAACAGTTATGCCTTATGCATCATGGTGTTACTCTCATTCCTTTTATTTAAAGGCTTTGAAATTTGGAAAGCTGTGAAAAACTTAGTAGTTCCTGCACCAGTTTAGGCTTGGACCTCTGTGACTTCAATAGCCATTTGTGTGCATGTTGAAATCTCACCATCAATTCCTTGCAGAAGCTTTTTTATTTTATTTTCAGTTGAGAGCAGCGAGCTGTAGAGGTGCCATGGTGTCCATGTCATTTGTGGCAAACCAGACTAGGAAATCTTTGTCTCAGGTTGTGGAAGGAGGGATTTTCTATACTTTAGCAGATTAGAGAAATTTTACATCCATTACACGTGCTGTATTCTACAGCATCTGGCATGAGTAAACCTATTATAATGAATATAGCACCGCTGTCATCATGTTGTTATATGGTTATACTGTATATTACTCTAGGTGTGGTACTACAGGTGTACATGTATAAACACAGAAATACAGACAAGCAGTTTGCAAGTATCTTCTCTGTCTCGCACAGCTGAGACAGTCACTCCATTGTTTATTCCTTAAGCACTTGTAGTTTCCAACGGTCCTATCCTTGTTTGCAGTTACAGGGGGGAAGGGGGAAATATCTTTCTCTTAACACCTGTTTGCTAATTGGGCTAATTTGTAGTTGACAAAGCTGAATGAAATCAATCTACTTGTTCTCTTTTAGGCCCTGGTATATCCAGCTATGAGAGTAACCCTGGAGCTCTTGCCAAATCCTTTGATGGCTGTCTGAATAAAGTCAAGGAGAGAATACCAGTTCATCTGCATAAAAACACTTCTGTTTATCTGGGAGCTACAGCTGGCATGAGGCTACTGAGGTATGGCAGAAACTTGAACTCCTCTGTAGGCATAGTAGCACAGCAGTCTGTGAAAATGGAATGTGAAAAATGTACTGGATGCATTTTTATCCATTGGAAATTGGCCATCTCAAAAGGAAATGGAGCCCAGCCAATTTAATATAATTAACTTTTTTGATGGGAAAAGCGGGGCTGTATAAAAATTCTCTGTTATGCCATATTGAAATGAAATGCTTGCTTTATTCTGGAGAAGGCAAGAGTTTAATTTTCTCTTTCATATCTGTCTTAAAATTCAGTGTTATGTAAACAGATCATCCTTGTGCATATCTGTGGGCAGCAAAGGCAGATTAAAGCTAGACACTGCAGAGTTTTCTGAGTGTGAACGTGGTGTAATATGGCTTTTGGGATCTGTCTGTGGCTTTAGCCCTAGCCCAAACTGTCTTTTTATGTTCTGTGGCTAAATAGAGTGGGAAGCAAGGCTCCAGGACTGCTTTAACCAGCAGCTGTCATATAAGCACTCAGTTCACTAAAAAGAAAAGTATATATAAGAAACAAAACAGCCATAAAGAGTGAAGTTTGTACATAGTGGGAGAGTTGTTTGCTGAAAAGATGCTGGATACTTGGCTGTTCCCTATCATAAGCTTACCTGTTAGGGAAACAATGCCTACTCTTTATTAGGTGATTGTAGGAGTTTTCTTGTATTACTAGTCAGTGAACAATAAACATGAAACTGCCTTTCCAGATGCTCAGTGTCTCATGTTTTGTGAATTGCTTAGGTTGCAAAATGAAACGGCAGCCAATGAAGTCCTTGCAAGCATTCAAAACTACTTCAGAGCACAACCTTTTGAATTTAGGGGTGCGCAAATCTTAACTGGGCCAGAGGAAGGGGTGTATGGATGGATAACAGCCAACTATTTAATGGGCAATTTCCTAGAGGTGTGTGGAAAAAACCTGCATGCTTTTCTTTTCACCTTTCTTTTTTATAAATCAGAAGTTCGAGAGGATGTGCCTGTTAAAACATCATAGCTATAACTTTCATTTTGCACTAAAATTTATAGCAGGATCTTTTTGTGGCAGTAACAGAACAAAGCAAACATAAATCAAAGAATATGATGTTGCAGGAACATGATATGGCAAAGGTCAAATTGTTGAAAACAAAACAGGGCTCTTCCCTAAATGACATTGGATGCCGTACCTAGAAACAGAAGTTGCATTGCTCTTCAAAGCATTGGTATGTTGTGTGACAGGTGTTGATTGTCTTGCCAGTGGTGCCAACTAAAGATGTTTTCTTCTGCTTTTCTGTGACTTCCTCAGGTGGTTGCTGTCCCTACAGCTCCACTGGTGAAGGATCTGCACAGCTTAGGGGCCTCCAAATTGTATGGCAGTGTTGGCTTGCTTGTCTTAAGGAGACAAGACTGAAGCAGTGAAGGTGGTTAAGTTGATGTGGCTGAATGTGCCTCAGCTGAGCTAGAAGTCACTTACAGTTCATTCCAATGCTTCTGAAAAGCTGCAGGCTCTGAGCAGTGGGCTGTGATGCCAACTGTCTTGTGCAGACAAAGTGATACCAATATATACTTACGCTGTTCTTGAACTCAGAATAGGGACAGGCAGGAGCCTAATAGCAGAGAGGGAGTCAAATGTGTTGGAAGATCCCTTTTTATGTATAGATAGTATAATTTCATTCCCAGTAAAAGCTGTACCAAGATGATCAGCAACTGCTCACCTGCATTCATAGCAGCAGTGTGCTGCCTTTAGCATTAACTGCACTTCTTCCAGACAGTCTCACTAGGTTGAAAGAAATTTCAACCAAACCCCTGAGTATTGTTAGCTGTCCTGGTTGAATGGTTCCTGCTAGATTGTGGCAATTAATAAGCAGGAATTAGTTGTTGGTGATCTGAGTGATAGCTCATAGTGAATCTGTTGTTACTATTGGAAAGTTAAGAAAAACAGTATTGGAATCACATGTTCTGGAAGAGTTTTTTTTCATTGTGTGCAACAAAAATGACATCATGAACTTTAGGATGGTGTCAGTCTTCTACCACATAAATTTTAATAATCCATATATCAAATTCCATATGGCAGATTCATAAGGACTACTGAAGGCACTGCCAGATGCTATGAAGCCAATTTAGTATAGAGAGTTGTGTGAAGACCTGTGTGTGGAATTTCACTAGTAGGAGAGGGAAATTGTCACCATTCTTGTGACAATGGGTTAAGAGTAAAATTCTGCTAGGGGCTGTTAATGGGAATCTTTCACTGTAGAATTTTCTTGTGAGTATAGTTGCTAGCCCATAAAGTTTCTTTTCCCTTCTTGTGTATACGTTTATCTCATCATGCTCAATGAATAATACTACAATAAATACTGAGGTAGATAATCATACAAAATCTATATTCTCTGCTGTGACTGTGTATATCAAATACAAAATTTGGGGCATGTTTTGGGTAATAGGGAAAAATGCCAGCTGAATGGATCAGATTTATTGCCACTGTAGTTTCAGTGAAGGCAATGTGCAGATTAGGGGTCCTTGTTCTTTTGACTTTGATGGAGCTTTCATTTGACTTTTCTGTCTTTTTCACTGTATTTTCAGTCTCTTTTCCTGTGTGATCTCTTAATATTCTATTCACTTCATAATTCTTGCCTTGAAACAAGCAAATCTTCATACTGTTTCCATCCAGATTTGTTCAAAATCTCATAGGTACCTCAACTGCAATCCTCTGTGTTCTAGCACAGATATTGATCTGGCTAGTCCTGTGCTTTGATCATTATGCTGTTCTCTGAGTTGAAAGCTACACTGTATTCCTTTTTCCATCTTTCAAGCTCATTTCACTCTGTGAAAGTACATCCCTCTTATCTAAAAAACATTTACATGTTTTCCTCAGAGCTATGATTTTTTTGGTGTGGGGTGCAGGACAAAGAGGCAGGGGAGAAATCTCAAGAAGTAAAAAGTAAAAAAGCTTGAAGGGAGGACAAGCAGATATTTCTAATTAGCCTTGGTTTTATTTTTACATGTAGAGAAACCTCTGGAGGACATGGGTCCATCCTTACAGTAAGGAGACTATGGGTGCACTGGACCTTGGAGGAGCTTCCACTCAAATTTCATTTATCCCAGAGGACTCTCAGGAGAAGTTCAATAGCACCTTGCAAGTGAAGTTGTATGGTTACAACTACAATGTCTACACTCACAGCTTCCAGTGCTATGGGAGAGATGAAGCTGAGAAAAGGCTTTTAGCATTGCTGCTCCAGGTCTGTTTAAGCCCCTTTGCTATGTTGCTTTTGCAGATGTTCAGTAATTGTCTGAGCATGTTCTTGGGCTTACATTCACTTCCCTTTGGTGGAGTTTGGAGACCCCCAGTAAGAGCTCTGTTGTGACTAGTTGTGGGCAAACACACTTAGGTTTCATACAGAGATTTTAATATTTGTTAAAAGCTGGTGAGTTTTGTACCATTTGACAAAAATGCCCAACTAGTCCTCTAAGTGTTTTGCTCATCTTGCCAATGATTTTTGAGAAAGGAGTTTCTGTGAATTACAGTGATCAGCAGTGTTGTACTGATCAGTCACAACAGGGAAGAGAACAAAAATACATGCATATGTGGTTTAAAAAGATTCCTGTAGTTAATATCAAATTGGGTTTTTCTTGGTTTTGAGTGGCCTTTATTTTTTGTTGTTTTTGTTTTTGTGTTGTTTGTTGGTTTTTTCCCCACAGAAATCAAACACCAGTTCCAATGTGGATAATCCATGCTACCCTCAGAATTATAATACCACATTAATGATGAAGTACTTCTCTGGCAGCCTTTGTACACAGTATCTGAGACCAGAAAATTATTACCCAAACCAGCTTGTGAACTTCCATGGAACAGGAGACCCAGGTCTGTGCCAGGAGATGGTTTCTCTGTTGTTTAACTTCACTGCTTGCAGAGACAGGGATGACTGTCCATTTAATGGAATCCATCAGCCAAAAATTAAAGGGAATTTTGTGGTAGGTTTGCAAACACAGCATTTCTTCTTGAGCTTGCTTGCTTATGTTTTCTGTAATTCTGAAAGTAACAGGCCTGTCATGTACTCCTTTTCTATAGGCTTTCTCAGGATTCTACTATACAATTAATGCTTTGAATTTATCTGGGCACTTCTCCCTAGCTGACTTCAATTCAAGTATGTGGTTTTTCTGTTCACAGAGCTGGGCACAGGTAAGTGGGTTGTTCGGGGTTTTTTTGGTGGTTTTTGTTGTTGTTGTTGTTGTTGTTGTTGTTGTTTTTTACATATTATCAGCTAAGAGGGAGATATAAAAAGAATATGGACTGGACAAGTATTCAGAACTTTTCAGGTATGTATTAATCTCAACATTTGTTTTCCCACTGTGCTTCAAACCATGTAGTATTTCTAGCATACTTAAAACTTGGACTGTTTGGAAATTTCATCCCCCATGATTCTAAGCTGAGTTTCCATCCTGTATTGAAATGTGACCAAACAATGTGTTCATTTTCCTCTTTTTATCTTTGAGCTTTTTACCACTGAGATGTCACAAAGATAATAAGGAGTGTTGCAACTGAATGTATGTGGGTATAAATGCATTTCAGAGGATTAGAGATTGTCCTGGAGGAATTTTTTAGAAGGCTGATAGAACAGGTCAGTTTAAATTTTAAAACAAAATTCTACTAGACTGACATTTGTTAACAACACACTTCAATCATACATATTATCAGCATACATATTATCATACATATTATCAGCATTATCACTAGTTAATCAAAGCAGTTAGTACTTACCAGTTGTATCCTACATTATCTGTGAGTGTACAGTAGCACAGAGCTGCTGCAGTGTAGTTGGAGCTGATGAGGTGGAATTACTGCTGCTGTGTAAAGAATTTTTACTGGTGGTAGGCAAATTTATTTTTTTTTTTCCATTGTTGTCCTTACAGAGTTCATCTGAGGGAAAGGTATGGTTTCATATTTTTTGCTATTACTTATGCTAAGAAAAGCAAGTAAAGCAAATTGTCCCCAACTGGCAATCTGTGACCTTTTCCAAATAGCTTTCAGACAGCAGTTCTTCATTTTGCTTGATGAAGCAATGCTTCAGCTTGCTTGATCTGTCTGTATGTATATGCTGTGATATTCAGGTCCTGATCTTCTTGTAACCACTGGGACTCTCAACAGCACTTCCAGTCAGACCTGGGAGATCAAAACACTTTGCATAGGTCTGTGAATTCCAGCTGATATTCATGATCCAAAGGAGTACCCCAGGTCACAATTAACATCCAAAGCACAGTTTTGTGATGTAACATGCTTTATGTAACTTGCTGGCATCTTTCTTTAATGGAGGCTTAACTCTGTATTTTTCTAGTCCTGCAATATTCCTTACGCCCTGTTTTCATCTCAGCTCTGTTAGTGTGAACCTAGAGCAAATTGACAGACATATTTTAAATTTTCAGGAAGGTACCTCAGATCACCAAACTGGCTCCCTGTTTGCATTCATTTTGTTGCTAGCACTTCCTGTTGTAACTTACCATCATTTGATGGCCAACTGCCATATGCAAGGTTGATTCTTGTCTGTGATCACAGAGGTTTGTGGCTGTGGTTTACTACCACAGTTTTAACCATGCTGTAAAGATGACATGAAAAATTTAGGAACCATAACATCCTCAATCTTTTATGTGCAGTTTTATGTTTATTTTCATTTTTTTACCATGTAAGCCACTGTCAGGGTCTTTCTTTTCCTAAATCTCCATATCTAGTTGTCCACAGCTTTACTTGTTGTTTCTGAAAAATGCGAATAAATTCTAATTAGAATCTAAAGTCTTCTCTAGTTATAAGAAACAAAAGCATTTGTTTTTTGTAATTTACATGTTTTTAAAAAAACTTCTGCTTTCAGCTCCAGTTTATGCTGCCTAAATTTGAAGAAATATATGCTAGGTCCTACTGTTTTTCAGCCAATTTCATTTATTACTTGCTTGTACATGGTTACAACTTCAGTGCAGAAACTTGGCCACAGATACATTTTCAAAAGGAGGTAAGTAATAATAATTTCCTCTTAGTGTTATTTTAATCCAAAGAAGTTTAGAAGGAGACAGAAGATGCAGCAGCCTACAAAAATACAACGGTCGTAAACAGCCTTTCTAAATGATTCAAATGTTTGGCATAAGACAAAGCCACTTTTCAAGCCTCAGTAGCAATTTCAGCCTGGTTCCAAGGCATTACTTGGATATTCTGCCTAGATTTTTTTTTTTTTT